AAGGCCCTGCGGCCTGGCCCTGCCCCTGGGGGTTGATTTCCAGCTTTCTGTCTCTATGTCTCTCTCTGGCGAGCGCACATGCCCTAAAACAAAAGCCTCTCCAAAAAAAAAAAAAAAAAAAGTATAATATAAGAAATAGCACATAATAATATTATAAAAGAATTATATGAAAAATAAGCCCGTCCTTTGCATCTGCCCCTTCGTTACTTAATTCCCAAACTGTAAATTCACAACTTTATCACTTTATGCCTAAACCTTTAACAGCAGCTTAAAATGTTCTAAAAATGGGACCAGCAGGTGGCGTGGTGGTTAAGGTGCTGGATACTCCCACATGGGTGACTGTGGTTCGAGGCCCAGACCTGGGGGCTTGCTTCACTTTCCCTCTCTTTCTGTGTGTACCTCTCTCTGGTCAAATAAATGAATGAATAAATAAAATTAAATAAATAATTATTTTTAAAAAATGTTCTGAAAACTTAAAAAAACAGAAAAGCTTAAAGAAAAAAAAATCACAGTCATATTCCTATTGGTCAGAATTAACTATTGTTCCTACCTTGGTATGTTTGCTTCTAGTATTTTCAAATCAAAAAGCCATTCTATTTGATAACTGGTGAAAATGATGTATACTCATTGTAAAGATTCCCCAGTGCAGAAACACACAAAGATGAAAGTTTAAGAAACCATGCCAGATATCATTAGGTGATCCATCATCTCTGATATCGTTAGAATGATCGATATATCACTATATAAAAATAGGATTTATATTACATTATTAAACTTAATTTGACATGAATTTAATAGGAGGGCTGGATGAAGACCAACGAATTATTATACCTCATATAAATATTTCTTTAGCACAAATTTTCTCTGAGTTAGGAAAAGATTGCTCTGCAAGGGCTGGCAGATGTTTTCTTAAAGGGCCAGAGAGCCAATATTTTAGACCTGGGGACTCTGTTCAGGTCTACTGTGGCTGGAAATCAGCATAGGTCATGTGTAAACAAAAGGATGAAGTTGTGCTACGGTCTCCCTGAACGTCCTATGGGGAATCCGAGTCACCAGTGTGATGGTATTAGGAGGTGGGGCCTTAGGGAGGTAACTAGATCAGGAGAGCGAAGCCCTCAAGAGTGGGGTTAATGCTCTTAGAGAACAGGGCCCAGAGAGCCACCTAGCCCCTCCCATCATGTGAGGATACAGCAAGGCCTTGTCTGTGATCTAAGAAACCGACTGTCAGACACCGAAGCCCTAGCGCCTTGATCTTGGGCCTCCCAGCCTCCAGGACTGTGAGGAGGAAGGTTGTGTATTATGCTTTGCTATGGCAGCCCAAATAGACCCAGACACTGTGCTCCCACGAAACTTTATTTATAAAGTCAAGTGACCAGCCCTCAGGGAGTAGTTGGTGGATCCCTGCTCCATGGTTAAATAAAAATGATAATGAAAAACACTGACACATTTAACCACATTTTGATTCTGAACAGTATGTCCTAGCTTCAAAAAATGAGAACATTAAAACTGGGTCCCATCTAGTGGTGCGGTGATTAAGATGCTTGACTCCCACTTGGCCAATTGCAGTTCAAGTTCCAGACCTGGC